CCTTGTATGGGTTGCATGAAATTACCGTCGTTTCTTCCCTCTAGCCGACACTCTACAGCAGCAGCACTATTATTTAGCAATTGGCTCACGACTGTCGATTAGCTCATCCTCAAAGCCGGAAATTCGGGTGCACGCAGACCTTTTGAAACAAAGGGTGTTAGGAATCAGTGCTCTGTTCCAGGTCAACATCATAAGTCGCCCACTTTGTGAACCGGTCAGCAAGCATGTCTTCGCGTTTTTTTTGGCACACCGGGGCATAGGAATCAAAAATAAATTATTCTTCTGCGAACTCATCTCCACGACAAACGTGGAGAGCACCACCACACAGTGGTCAAGATTCATAGCATATCATTCATATCATTTCGGCGTGTTTGAAACACGATCCATTGTACGCAAGCAATCACCGCTACCGGTCGATTGGTCGCCAAGCAAACAAAACAACAGGTCTGTGTCCATAGACCACCACCTGGGTTAAGGTGCAGTACCCTCGATCACCGACTGCAGGTCGTCAGCTGCAGACGTTTAACCTTGGAGTAGCGGTATTGGCCTTTTAACATTCGACAGACGCTTGTATCTATCCACCACCCGGCCCACTTGTTTACTCAGGCCTTCAAGGCCTGTCGGCGGTCACTTGGGAACAGGTGTAAGAGACACACCTTGTTTCAGTAGGTTTTAATCCGACAACCACTTTTGGTGGATATGGAAGCAGTCTGATAAAACATCTACGAAGAATGTTTCCTACTGCTTGAAATCGGTTGACCCCCATATACGTAATCAAATGGACGCAGGGGGCCATATCGCCTGGTAGACGGTGCATACGCATTCCCAACACAAGTGCCCACTGATAGGTGAACCTGGGTGTGTGCAACAGGAACTATGATTAAGTTTACGTAGATTGATCCTGAATTGTTTGTTCCGACACTACGCTAGTGTAGTCTTGGGGGTTGCGGTCACAACTGCTTCAAAACGACGGCCATACATGCGTAGTCATTCGGCAGATAACGTTCAGAATGTAGCCGTCACTCCCCAAGGTCTCCCGTCGGTCACAGTGGCATGACGTATGCATTTCGTATTTCCGCATGGGCAACTCGGTGTGCCGAGGCAAATTTTGCATGGCATGTTTCAATGTGTGTGGTGCATCTGTTTTCTTCGGCCAGTCGTTCGCCTGCTCCTGGGGGCTGTCTGTATCTCATCAAAAGGACCATCCCTGACTGTGGGGGTACAGCCCGTTTACGGGTGATGTACAAACAGTGAGCAGTAAGGCAAGAGACAAATCGGGGCTCCATGTGGGGCACTAGTTGCAGATCTTGTCGGAGTCTGTGTGCTGGCGTTGTGATGAACAAAAACATAATGTAAGTAATAGTTCTGGTAAGCCATGTGGTGTAATGTGTGCCGGCTGTTCACAGTGCATCTGTGTCGAAAAATCCGTGGATTTCGATGTGATAGATATGCGCTTTCTGAGAGCATTTCTGATATGGAAGTTGCCAAACACCACTCTCCCCGTTGATAATTGTGCAACTAGTTCGTCCATGACAAAGATCTTCATGAGACGCTGTTCACGCATTCTTTTTCCGAACAATCCGAACGTTTTACGCATGCGAACAAACTGCCTTCTACGAAGATATACATAACCGGACTCCCGGTACCCATATCATCCATGGTCTGGAATGTGTTGAGCTTGTATCTACAGACCAGATATTAGTTACTTCAAAACCCAAACTGTTTATCGCGTTTTGCACTTACATTTACTACATCCAGAAAGCGTCGGAACTGCGCCATATACTGCCATCTAGAGAAGCATATGTGAACATTCCGACCCTTTCCTGACTGCAGCGCAAGCAGGCGTCCAAAATTTTGCCAGGAACGAATTCAGATCATCTGCCGCATTAAAAGCCATCTATGCGTGGCTTACTCAACAGAGACGACTGTGGATTCCGGTAGCGATTGTACATATTTTGGCCGCTGGCTTTTCGCACAATGAGATTGATTTCCCGAAATCTACGGCACTTTCAGACTTACCGCTTCATAGTGTAGAATGTCTATGTATAACGTATATGCTCCTGTATTATTGAAAGTTCCTTAATATGGCGATTTGTTTAAGTGAACGAAATCTCCAGGTCAATAAACACCGCCGACTGTGAATACGTTACCTGATGATAAAAAATCGCGAATTGTGGCAAAGGTTAACTCCCATACAATGAACGTACCTTTCAGGTATTTTTCCACCGGAACAGATTTCCTCATCATTCTAGAATCTAAGTGGCCGTTGATGATGCAACGTATGCGTAGGCGCATTCGTGCAAACAAATTTTGGTCAATGATTGTTTGTTGCCAGTAAACATTCCGTTGTGCACGCTGATTATTTGCTAAGCATCGTGCACGTTGCCTGGCAAATTGCGAAGTTTTTCATTATAGGTTCCGAATTATGCTGTGAGGCACTTTTCCTCTTCATGAGGAGCGCTCTTTTGGCCGTTGAAGTCCTGAAATGAGAGGAAGATATAATTCAGGTTACCGAAATAATACCCTAAGGCGGGAGGCCGACAAACAGGTAGAGATACTTACCCCAAAACTCACTGCAGTGACCATGCTGTCGTAGATGCCTGTTCACACAACGCCAGCTTCAGCGGTTATTTCGCATGCCTGTTTACTTCACCTCTCAAGAAATACGAGACTTACATGTAATGCATAGGACCTCATTAACGGACAAACTTTTTGGAGCCGATGGGTCACATGAAATCATCTTCGTCCCTTTCATCTAGCTGACGCTCTACAGAGTTAGTCGTAGTTGTCAGACATCGACTCACGGCTGTCGAGTAGTTCCTCAGTGGACCCGAAAACACGGACGCACACAGACTTACGGGACACACTGTGCTGGGAATCTGTGCCTCGGTCCAGGTCAACATCATAAGACGCCCTCTTTGTGGACCGGGTAGCAAGCACACCTCTGCGTTTTCTGAATGGGCCCGGAGCTAAGAACCAAAAGTGATTTATTTTCATGTGGACTCACCTTTGGAACAAGCCTGAAGAGCACCACCACGCAGTGGGCAGGGTTCACCATCACAACAGTCGGCGTGATACGACACGCGATCCGTTGTACACCAGCGGTCACTGGTAGTAGTGGGCCAGTCACAGAGCACACAGAACCTCAAGTCAGCGTTTCCAGACCGCCATCTGGGTTGAGGTGCAGTATCCTCGACCACCAACGGCTTGTCATCGGTTGCAGACTTTGAGGCTTGACGCAGCAGGATTTGTCCCTGAACAATCAACCGCTTAAATATGGCGGTGGCCCTCCTGGGTTCCAGCCTCTGAAGCTAATCCATTACCCGATTCAGTTGCTTACGAGGACCGTCGAAAGCTGTCGGGGGTGGTTTGGGAACAAGTGTAAGGGGTGCACCTTTTCCCGGTAGGTTGTAAGCTGGCACCCATCGTTGGTGGATTGGAAAGCAAGCTAAGAAAAAGTCAATGATGAATGGGTCTTACTGCTCGGAACGGACTGATCTCGAAATACAGAGAACAGGTGCACACAGGGGAGCCACATCGCCTGGTAGAAAGGGCACATGTATTCTCCAGCACAGGTGTCGACAGTCTGGGAGCATCTAAGTGTTTGCACCACAAACTATGAGTTAGTTTACGGAGCTCGACCTCACCTTGTTTGTTTCGACCCTTTCATACGGCAGCCGCGGCGGTCGCGGACCCAAGTGTCTCAAAACGAGAGAGCATGCATATGTCGTCATTCGAAGGGTATGTGCATTCTCCAGCACAGGTGTCGACAGTCTGGGAGCATCTGGGTGTTTGTACCACAAACTATGAGTTAGTTTACGTAGCTCGACCTCATCTTCTTTGTTCCGACACTTTCATACGGCAGCCGCGGCGGTCGCGGATTTGACAGTTTGTGGTTGTGTTCCGGAAAATAGGACGTCACTGCCAGTTGGTTCCTTTGCCTCCGTAGACAAAACCGCACTGGACAGCTGGTGCTTCGCGTACTTTTTTATTAGAAAATACGCTCGGCTTACCAGCTTCTTCGGATTCCACGGCTTTCCGTTGGTCTTGGAGGGCACCTGCTGCGTTTGTAGTACACCCATTCGTAACGCAAAATAGTGTTGGTGCTTCGATTACTGGATGAATGCACAAATATCACAAAGTTATCCTTCATGTATTCATTTAAGGTCATCTCAAATGCCGTGTGTGATGAAAACGATAAATCCACAAATTTCTCAAAGAAAGCCACTTCCGAAGCCATAGCAGATGAAGTTCAAAGCCGAATGTGCGCCAATAGTTTTCAGAAGAGATTGATTAAAACAAATCGCAAAAAAATGACGGCATATTAAGGGGTTTTCAGTCTACGCATATATGCAAAGAAGTGCAACATGTTGACGTTAAAGTTTTTATTTCGCCCGAAGGGGTTTTGCAGAAAAATGCATTGTGCTTTTGGCCGCTGGCTATATTTTGTTTGTTCGGCTTCACCGGCCACAAACTGCCTCAGTTCACATGACGACGTTCCATACATTATCAAGGTCATGGAGGTTCCCAAATCCTTCTCGGTTAGGCATCGATTTATCGAAAGCCAATTGCATGGAAGCTTAGAAACCTAATGGTGTGTTCAACATAATAAGAAGTGCTCAAGAGATGTTTCCCGCCTCCTTCGATAGAACGCCAAATTCTTGTTAATAACTTACTAGCTACTAGCTTCTTCGGATTCCCCAACTTTTCGTTTGCCTCGCTGGCTGCCAGGTGCTTGGATTACTGGCTGCACGCACAAATACCACAGAGCTATTGCTTAAACTGGGACACATTAGCCACACGATGCTCTTAGCTGCAAAACCTTTAGGAGTGGATTAAGACTTCCCGTGCCAGAATGTTGCATTTTATCACCTATGTGCTCAAACCAAAAGCCATTCCAATCTACATTCATATAATTGCAGCTCACCAAGCAATCACACCTCTGGTGGAAAAGCCTGGTGGAATAATATCCAGCATCACTAAGAACCTGAGATGCCTAAATGGGGTTTAAATGTTTGGACTGGCACTCTGTACTCAATCGCATGATTGCTTTAGCTCATCAGGGGAACGCCATAGCTATTAAAAATTCTATTCCAACTACTCTATGGGTTCTACGTCAGACCGCTCCTGGACTACGTCAACCAAGTTGTCTACTCAGGACGCACGAACGACGTCACCCTCATTCAGCCTGTCCAGCGGGCGCCACGAGAATGATTGCCGACCTCAAATCCATGGGCTACGAAACGCGTCTTGCGATGCTTGAGCTCTTTCCGTTGGAGTACCGTCACCTCCGAGAGAACCCAATTCTCACTTATGCCCTGTTTGAACAAAGCTTGGCAAACAGGTTTCTTACCGTTGACCCAGCAAACAACCGGCGGGGGCATAATAAGAAAATTTTCAAGCTCAGAGCACACACATTTATTCGGGTAGTAGCTGCGTCGAATGACCTTCCTCCGACGGTTGTGCACGCTCCTTCTAGAACCCAGTTTAAAGCACTATTAGACATTAATTTATGCGAATCCTCGCGCTGGCAAGTATACTGTCCCGCGCTGAAAACATAAGTAGCATTGCTACACCCTTTTTTCACTTATGCCTTTCAGGTGAACGACAGCCACTGACCGACAAGAACAAAACCGACCCGGGAAACTTTGGCAATAACCTAGATCCTGTGTATCAATCCGTGAATCCGTGAATCCGTGTGAATACTGAGTGTCCCTTTAACGCCTTCTCAAAGCTGAAACTCGTCAATAATTGAAGAGAGACTGATTATACCAAGCCACGGAAGATGAAAGCAGCTTAGAGTTATTTTTGAGCCCACATCCAATATTTGTTTGAGAATTATTATTTCATCTGCAAAGGTTTTTCAGAAAATAGCCTTTTTCAGCCATTGGCTCAGATATGGTGTCCGTATTACGCTTAACTGGAACGAGTAAACGACACATTGCTGCCTTTCACGGATTTACAGATTGTTAAACAGGATGGAGACTTTTGTCCAAAGTTACCTGGCCGGATTCACTTCCGTCATTAAGCGGCTTCTGTTCACCGGATAGACACAAGCGATCGAAGGATGTAGCACTGCTCTGTTAGTTCTCAGCGCGGAGCAGTGGTTTTGCCAGTATGACGCCTCAAGTAAAATGGCCTCTTAATGTTCTTTGAAATTGATACTACATGCAATGTGAACAACCATCTGCGGGAAGGTTATTCCATGCACCAACTACTCGAAATTAGAATACCATTGCCTAATTGGGGTGTGCGATCTGAGCTTGAGAATCCTGCTACCATCTCCCCGCCGTGTTTTAGTTAGGTCATCGGGGCCTGTTTTCCCGAAGACGCCTGATCCTTTTTAGATAGCTTTTCGACCGTCCACTTTGCGCTGTCGTCTACCTTACGAATTTTCAAGACGTTGGCCATTTATAAGCCTTCCACTGAAGCTGGGCACATTTTTAATTACTCAGGGAAGCTACTCATTTCTGGGAAGCCTGCCAGGCAGGGGTTCCGAATCCAGTTAAGTTACTCAGGAATACCGGCGTAGTAGCGTCGTTACCATCGAATGATGCTTTTATTAACAATTGATCAACGAAATGTATTTCGTTGGTGATGAAGAAATTCAACAAGGATGGTGGTTAGTCCGCACTGAGGACTTAAAGGGCACTGCTACACTCTTTTTAGCCTCGCTTCCCAGATGGACGGCAGCCGCTGAACTGGAAGAACCAGCCTCACCCAGGAAACTGGGGCGAAAGCCTCGATCCTGTGTATCAATCAGTGAATCCGGGATTATATGGGAAGTGCGATGAATTGCGCCCAGATGACCTTCTCAAACTGGGGCGAAGCCTCGATCCTGTGTATCAATCAGTGAATCCGGGATTATATGGGAAGTGCGATGAATTGCGCCCAGATGACCTTCTCAACGGCCTTCCGAAATTTTCTCCCAGTGCGAAATCCCACCAAGCCTTGGTTTATCGTCATCATTTCTTCGTTGTTTGCGGAAATTGACCATGCACTAATATGGTCTCTATGTTTCAGTTTCACCTGTTGTTTAAGTGTGCCGGAAGGTGCCGAGTCCGCTGCGTTTGGTAGCCCGCGTGTCCCCAAGATGGTTGGTCCTCTCATCCCAGATGCTGATCTCTTTGCTGTAGGGTGACAATGTTTTAATACGGACTCGGAAGTTCATGTCTAACCGTCTGCTGTTTCGCCGGCAGATGGTGGTAGACATTCTGCATCCTGGGCGTTGTGTCCTGTCGCTCAAAGATATCCGGGAGCGTCTCGCGAAAACTTACAAAACTTCTCCTGACATGGTATTCGCTTTCGGATTCAAGACACACTTCGGTGGTGGGAAGTCCACAGGCTTCGCCTTGGTGTATGATTCTTTGGACCATGCAAAGAAGTTTGAGCCGCGTTACCGGTTAATTCGAGTAAGTTTTGTGATTCAGAATCTAACTGGTTGTCAGAATGGGTTGCTGGCCGCTACCCCCAAGGGCAGAAAGTTGAGAAAGGAACGCAAAAACAAGGCCAAGAAGATTCGTGGCACAAAACCGAAGAAGAAGAAGACGGAGAGCTAATCAGCGCTTCGACATTTCTCGAATAAATGCTTGTAAAGGAACCTTGATATTTTCACCGAATACCCAGCCCTCGCAACTGACTAGCCAAGCCTGGCTGAGTGCTCTTCAGAACTGTGCGAAATGCAACTGAGTCTGTTGGCTTCAGCGTCGTGCCTGCGTTTATCTCGCGTGTGCTTGGTAGACGCCATTTGCCGTTGTTGAGAGGCTGCGAAATACTGCTTCACGAAGCATTTTAACTCATCGTGTGGAACCCATTACGGTGACCCCATTAGGGATGCACTGGAAACTCTATGTGATGACGGTGTGCGACTAATTTTATAGGGTAAGTTTGCTATTCTGAGGCCTGTGCTTGAGTACCGCTGGTGCTCAGGGCAAGGGCTGTTTTAAGTCGTCCATCGGAACGGTAGATCAGCATGGTACGGCATTTTGTTTCATGATTTGGAGCACATTGCCCATCAAATCATAGGTGGACTATAGGCCCATAGAACAGTATGTGATGGTGAAGCGTTGGTGTCCTACATTTGTGGCTTCGATCCTGAGGCTGAGCCAGGTCTAGTCGACGGCTTCGTCCACTTGGAAGAGTGGGAGGTAAGTCCTCAATAGGTCTCGAAAAACCAAAGCATTCGTACTCCTCGATTGTCTTTGGCAGGTATGGTCAACGATCGAAGTGTGCGCTATCGTGTCTTGCAGATTCGAAGCCTGGCATTAACCAGCCGTATTCAACTCTCGCGTTAGCAATGGCGCCCATTGTAGGATTTGAATGAGTTACTTAACCTACGAGATATCGTTCATCCTTCATACTACTTTCATTGATCATATGGTATAAAGGAGCAGCGACTTATGGAAACTCACTTTCTTGACATCATATCCCTGAGGCGGCTGATAATTGACTGGTGGCATTAGCTATAGCGCGTGTTCGATCTCGATAACAGAATATGATCACAGAGCTGTTTGAAGTAAGATGTGAAAGAGTTTACGTTGGTATCTAGCCGCATACTTCCAAGATGTCCTGTTTGGGCTCATTGCCTTCGGGCAAAGGTTGTTCTAGCTGTCCTTGGTCTACACTGCAGGCATTAGAGAGCAATATTAGTGTTAACACTTACGCTTCACTACCGTACAACAAAGTGAAAAGAAAGGAAAGGAGTAGATGAGAGTGTGACTTGGTGCTTGCTTTTCGCAGGCACAGAGGTGCTTGCACGTCCGAACCCTCTATCAGGTAATCCTGATGATTCTGGCACTGGCCTACGTACCACATGAGTAAACACCCGTTTCAGAATCCGTTGGCGTCACCCAGCAGCGGCAATTTTGTGACATCGGTGATTAAAAACATGCAGATGGCTTCGGTTGTGCCGTAGGTACCGTCGCATGGCCCTCCAGTAGTCCTCTAGGCCACGCCACTGGGCGAGTCCTTAAGGTTCATGCAGTGACTTCATTAAATGTCCCCTTCAAAGCCACGCCGTGATACGTGAATCTCTCGCTTCCCTCAGTTCTTTTTGAATTACAGGGGACATGTCCAGCACCACCACAGCTGATGGTGGAGCAAGGTTTACGTACCTCAGCGCCCTACGGAGCTATACTCAAGGATGCCCACCCACTGGGTTCGTCAGTAATCAGAGGTTCGACATTTTCCAGTGGCCGAAACTCCAGCAGCTTCGACCAAAACTTGGTACACGCTGATAGTTCAACTGAACTGTTAGGTCTGATAGGTTTTTGTCCCTCCAGCTTGGGGTTGGGACAAGGATGTCCACGTTTTCCTGAAACTTGATGCGTTAGTAGTCTTACGCCGACAACCTCTGCATTGCCGTGGGACATTTGAATGGGTGGTTTTGATATACCATTGCCTGATAAAACTCACGCAGGAAATCGTGAAGAAAGAAATACCGGAGGAATACCAGGTATCTGACGTCTTTCCTGCTTCCAAAAAAGTGTTCGACGTGAGTGTGAGAATCATTGGAAAATTATTTCACTCATGGCTTCAAATTCGTCCACAGGTGTCATCCTGTACAGGCCAAATAGGACCGTTGAGTGGCGCAGTCGTAGAAGTCAAGCTTGGCTGTGATGTGCATCGACCGCATCTTTACTTTCTTACTTGCAATGTGCCATATATATGGGATCGACAGTCGTCTTCTTACATCTAAAGGCAGCCTTCGACTTAGCCAATGGCACTGTTTTATCGCGTTATCTTCTCTTTGAAAGTATGCCGGACATTTTTGCCACACCAATTTTTATGCAATAACATCCATGAACGTCTGCAGGGGGTATTGTCCTGAGTTTATAGCGGAAAGTAGCGTCCATCAGGGGTGCCTTTCGTCATGTTTCCACTTGAACTACATGGTCTAATTAATCGTGAAAGAAACTTTCGCTATATCTACTATCATGGAGTCTCTTCAGAGAAAACCTTGAAGGCTTGGAATATGTGGACGACGGTACACTGCTTTGCTCGATTCTTGTCCAGGTACAAAGTACACTAAGTAATCTAAGTAATGTCCCCATGCGGTTTGCTGTGCGCCTGATACCTGTCAAAAGACGGCGCATGAAGTACCAAAGTCCGTTCTGGCTTTCTTTAACCACGGGATCAACCTGTCGGTGCACGACAGTGCGTCCAGTCTGGCCTTACGACAGGCCACTGTGCAAGACAGGGGGTTGCTTGTCTTAAAGCATTGGTGCCTTCTAAGCAATGTACATGTTTCATAGGAAAATGAAATCAGTGTTATGTATGTGCGACGATTGGTTTTGGGAAGGTAGCTGTACATTGGAGGATGCGCGGGCGCCATTGAGGGCGCGTTTGGGCTATGTTTGACAATGTCTCTGACCATTGATGTGGCCCGTCTCGGGGCCCCAATCCAGGAGGACAGCACTGACCAGCACAGCCGAGTTTAAGCGTTCAGCTGTAGCACCCTTCCGGTGCCTAGCTGCCATGCCACCCGAAGGAAGCACGAGGGCTGGGATACTGCCAGGTTGCCCAAGCCTAGACAGGGGAAGTTGAGAGGCGGAGGTCGGATTCGAACCATGGACCTTCCGGTCAGTAAATTGGCGCTCTAACCGCTTAGGCCATCTCGCCGAGTTTGCTAGTACTGGCTTTCATACTTCGCTTCCAAGTTATTGTTTGACCGCCTCTGGCTCTCTTCCACTCTTCACATGGTTGTGCAAAAAGAGCTCTTCGAGGAATTCGGTCGACTGGCATACGCGACGCGTAGCCAAGCCAGCACAACCTGTTCAGTGACCAGTTCATCTATCGAGGGTGAGTTATTTCTCCCGAATACCATTGGACGTACTTCAGCATTGCTAATCCGGTGTTCCCACCAGACTGCGGCAACACTCCGAAGACATCGACGGTCACACACTGAAAGTCTTTTGACGTCCTCGGCGCGCAGCGGCCAGGTTTCTGATCCGTATAGTAATATGGAGCGCACCGCAGCATTGTGAACTCGACTCTTGAGGGATAAGTTGATGTCACGCCTACGCCACAGATGACGCAGTTTCACGAAAGCCGCTCTGGCCTTCCCAATCTGGATGGAAATATCGTCTTTCGCGAGACCACCGGGACTGATGCAGCTGCCCAGGTAAACAAATTTGTCTAATACCTCAGTCGTTTCATCCGCAAGCATGGGGCTAGGGTTCGAGCCTACCCAGTCTTGCAGTAGCATTATACATCGCAGTTGTGAAGAGCATACCAAACCATGAGGCGAAATTATTTGGATTATTTAATATTGTTTGTATTACCACAGGGTCAGATCCAATAAGAGCTATGTCGTCTTTGTACTCGGTATCTCTGAGCGGACGCCTCGGGAGCACTTCGATCCCACAGACATTAGAGGCTGATAGTGAGTCTTTCATGATTGTATCAATAACGAATTTGAAGAGCAAATGTGAAAAAGGACAACCCCTGTCTGACACCACTTGATGTGGTGAACTCAGGCGAGGGCTTCCCGTGGAACTTCACACGGCCGCGGGCGTTGGCGTACAACGCCCTAAGGAGGATCAAGAATTTATGGGAGAAAGCTTTGCTTCACGGACACTGCCACAGTGTCTGACGGTTCACAGAGTCAAAGGCAGCTTTCAGATCAAGGAACAACCCTTGTTGCTTGCTGGAAGCAATGTCCCTGTTCTAAAATCTGTGGAAGGATGGAGATATGATAGGACGGAACCCATCTTGTTTTTCACGAATCTGTCTCACTGTGTTTAGTCAGCCTTCGAAGGATAAGGCCAGAGAGCGCCTTTGATGCCACAACTAACAGGCTGGTATCACGGTGGTTTTCACACAGCGTCCGCTTACCCTTTTTGAAGATGACCGTCGACATGCTTCATTCCGCGAGCACCTCTTCGTTCCATATAGCGCCAATAAGCTTTGTCAGAGGGGTCACCTGGGATTCTCCGCCTTTGAAGGGGGATGTAAATAGGCCGTCTGGTCCTGGTGCCTTCTAACGTTTCAGTACGGATATTTCGTACTTTATTTCTTCTGACGGGCAATCATTGTTTACATTCCATTGGCCCGTATGCATTATTCTCGCAGGCTGCGTTGCAATAGGCCAGCTGAATTCTTCGACGCGTTAGACCCATCTTTCCAGTCGATGGTTTTGCGAGTGAATTATTAAGCCATCTTTTTCACCTGTCGATTCGCTGCCCGTTGCTTTCCTAAGGCCGGTCGATCAGTTGATTTAGGGCACGAATGTTCCTCGTAGCAAAAGCCTTCTCCATCTCTCGAAATTTCGATGTCCACCAGAGCTCTCGGTCTTTCCTTAGACTCTTCACCTTTTGGCCTTTGAGAGATTTGCGTGCGCCGTCATAATCAGTGCCTGCATCCTGGCATCAGTCATGGTTGCCCGACGTCATCCAATGATCTTGTGGTCGAATTGGAGAAGTCGGGGAGGCAGCACTGAACGCCGCTAGCATAGCTCCTTCCGCATTTTCCCACGCTTCATCCACATGCTCACTGCCACCACTGTATTGGCTTACTGTGGGGTGTTGTTAGGCTAGCTCGGATCGATACTGATGAGCTATGGTATTTCTTCGAAGACAGTGGATTGGCATGCCTTTTGCTGACTTGCGAGGACCTGAAGGGAAATGAACTATCGGGCATGCACGCACCATGGCGTGATCGGAATCAAGTGGTGTGCCCCTAGAAGGAACGGCAGTCTTGAATTGTGGCTCTCCACCGGTGGCTGATGGCCACGTGGTCCAACTGGGTCCACGGTTGATTTGCACTTGGTGGCCGCCAGGTTACACGATGCGGACGTTCATGTCCAAAGTTCTTACTTGTCAGAAACAGTTCATGGTCAGCACATAACTGAAGGAGTCGATTTCGGTTGTCTGTGCGGCGAGCATCGACTCCGAATCGACCGCCAAAACGTGATTCCAAAGAGCTCATAAAACCTACTTGAGCATTCAGATCGCCTGCAAGGATCACAGTGTCAATGCATTTTGCTTGACGAATGAGCCCGTATAGCTCTCCATAGAAAGTATCCTTCGCCTCAGAACTCCAGTCCGTTGGCGCGTAAGCCGACAATACAAACAGGCACTGCTTTTTATGTCGAGAGACATTGAGGTCGATTGAGCTGGATAACCGGATGGCGCAAAGACAGCTGTTCACTGGGATCCAATTCGGCAAAGCACGTTCAGGCCTGGGGCTGATGCAACTACCACGAGTCATCGCATCTGGGTCACCGGACACATGGAAGGAGAAATGTGAAAGAGCTGAGTCCATCCTTGGCGTTCTGAGATGCATAACCACGCTCGGGTCTTGTGTGCGTGTTTCGGAGACAGTACATCAGCAAGCATCGCCTGTTTGCCTATTTGACATGGAGTACAGTCTGACGCACGAAGCAGCGGACGGTAGGCTTTTCTTTGGGGGCCGATGACTCAGCAGTCTGACCTGCTCGGTTGAAGAGCATGGCCTAACCCGAGGGCCTAAGGAATAAAATATTACTGTCTCATTCTTGATACGGCTGTGCAAATCGAGTGCCTTTTGAGCAGCGCCAGGCTTTTTAGTTTTAAAAGTATTTCGACCGTATTGGACAATGCGCCGGCGGTAACGGTCAACCGTTGGGCGATCGGAGTGTGCGGGGCCGACCTTTTCTAACCGTCCTTCCTCGGGGGAAGGCAGCATCGCTGCTTCCATAAATATGGACATGCTGGTCGCCTGGGGGAAACACCTTACTGCCTTCACACCTCTCGCAGAGGATAGTACGACATTAGCCCCCCAGACCGCCTCGTAGTACGATTACTCGCTGCTCTTGGTCTGACTGTTCCATTTTGGCCTTCCTGGTATGGTTGAACCTTGTGGAAGGAAGTTCCAGCCAGTGTAGCCCGCGGGATCCTTGCAGCACCCAATTCCGACCACCACGTCAAGGTGCCCGCTTTAGGTCGGGATGTTCACTGCATTCACTATTATGAACTCACTTCAGCCATATTAACGGCCTCTTCCAGATGGACGAAGGTAAGCTAGACGGGCACTGCCTGAAGAATTGACCACCATCACCACACAGAACGGGGGCGAGATGGACCAAGTAGTTAGAGCGCGAATTTACTGACCGGAAGCTCCGTGGTTCGAACCCGACCTCTGCCTCTCGACTTCCCCTGTCTAGGCTTGGGGAATCTGGAAGACCTCGTGCCTCCGTGTGGCGTGGCAGGTAAGCACCGAAAGGGTGCTACAGCTGAACGATTATTATTATTACTATTGCTATTATTACTGAACAGAAGAGATGGAAGATCGTCAGGATCAGCAGTATGTTGACGCCGATACCTGTGAGGCTGAAGGGTTTCCATATTCGCAGTTCACCTTTCGGTTGAAGGCCGGCATTCCGGATTTGATTTTGCACTGGGCGATTCGAAATACTGCCCAACGACCATGTGCCTCGTGTGCCATGTGACCAATAACATCACTGTGCACCATTAGCTAAGGTATAGTGAAGAGCACATCGCTTAGTGGCGGAGCGTGGCTGCCATGGTGCATGTCTTCAGTGGTGTTGGAGTATGAATAATCTACCACACCAATGGTGGGAAAAGCTCGTCGACATAGTGATGTCACACAACCTGTAGCGTGGTATTTGTTCTCGATAAACAACCCACATTTTTTATTTTGTTGAGCTACACTATCCTGTGGTACACTTGGGGTCGGGATGGCCCCAGTTGTCAGAGCGCGAATTTACTGACCGGATGTTCCGTGATTCGAACCCGATCTCTGCCCCTCGACTTCCCCTGTCTGGGCTTGAGCAACCTGGCAATATCCCAGCCCTCGTGCAACCTTCGAGTGGCGTGGCAGTTAGGCACCGATTATCTGTGGTACACTACCGGCTGCCATAGGCCGTGGTGTCCCTACCCAATTCAGTTGCGCACATAGGTGGTCGTAAAACTTAAACGAAACCGGATGCATGGTAAAACCAAAAAAGGAATGCGGTGATGCTAGTGCAGCGAAGAATGGAACGTGATACCTCGAAGAAGGCTGCTTGTGGCTACTAGCTGAAATTAATCAAACTAACGGCCGCCGCATACCATAAGGGCTGAGGTGATCCGAAATGATCCGATGCGGCTGCACAAATGGATAGCAAGTGCTAGTTAGATATTTAGATCTCACTTTTGGGACGTTTTAATGCGGAGACTCCTACGCGATATCCGAGAGAATTGTCGAGTTTTCGTAATGCTGCTCTGTATTGTGGTCCTCCATAATGATTGGTGGCGGATCAAATGAACCTATGTGGCCATGCGTACCCAGGGTCGGATTGCAGACGTGCTCCTTTTGTCAGTCACGGCTCTGAATGTGCTGTTTGGTCTGTACCCTGCACCACAGGACTATTGAATGGGTTTGGAGCATCTTGTTAGAATATGCTAGTGCTACTATCTACTCGGTACATTTAATCGGATTTCGGAAACATGTCACAAATGCCTACCCCTGCTGGGCTTATCAGACCTATGCACTCTGGTAGATGCATTGCTACTATTATCGGTGGCTCGATCGTCACTATTTTATACTTCAATTACATATGTTGAACAGGTACCGCAATATCGGTAAACTGGGTGTCGAGTGTTAGGGTATATAACGCCTTTTCTGAATTAGCTACCCCCCTAGGGCATACATAGAGCACTGTGACAATAAACGAGAGGAAATAGGCTAACACAGAGGTATCAGACAATAAGTGCTGAGCTCAAAAAACGTGCCCGCAAGCCAACAGATGTCTTCGATGCGCTTCGAGTAGGATCAGATACAGCACAGAAACAAGGTCGGAAGGCTTGCAGACCAAGAGAACTTCTGATCCCCGAAGCTTTCTCCCACAAGAACCGAAATGTTATGATCACAAGTTTCTCTTATGAGTACCACGAACCGGGGTAACGGTCCTACGTGCAGTCAAACACCGAGCCTATGCAGAACCCCAGTTCTCCTCACAAACGGACTTAAGTTTGTAAGCCAGGAAGGACGGAGGTATGTTTGGAATAACTCCAGGTTCCTCGAGTTTCAACTGATGTCATTGTAATTCAACATAGCTGACAATTATATCATTTGATTCCGTGGTTGCCAAACAAACTTCGTGAGTTAACGCATAAAATCATCGCACCTAACGCCGCAGATCGCAACAGCTTATCTTCATGCTTATTCGCAAAACATCTCAGAAAAGTGCAACTGCTGTAACGTGGCGGCCTGACCGCACCGTTGGAAAAAGATATACCTGGCTCAAGATCAATAAGTCTCGGAAGGCCGTGTTTATGTCGCTTATGCTAACAGGCAATACTCGTAGATTTTAGTATAACTTGGAGGTTTTCCTAAGACGAAAGTGTCACCACATGCTTTGCAAGCCGGATTTCAGCGGTGACGAAAAGCAAGAGCTGTTTTGTAGTATAGTATCTCAGACTGTCTCAAAACTAACATGACATCGCAGTGCAGTTGATCAGCGGGAAGTCTTCAAAATAAGACTATTATGCGACTGAGCTAAAAGCAAAGAAACCACGGTTTAAAGGTCAACGGAACGATTGAATTCGAGCATTGGAACCCTGTGTGTTGGGATGTGTTGCTCAACGTCTAGCTTTTGTCAGGACCAGGATATTCTGCATGTCCTTCGGGAGTGCTGCGGAATTCAATCTCATGGGTTTGAGTTCATAAAACCACTGCTTGTAGACGACGGATTGACCGTTTCCACAACGTTTGAGGATTCACTAGTAGGACGAAGTGATGACGTCGAGTCTACGCCTTGGTGGGTGAACCAGTGGTTTGATTGCGATTTGTAACAATGATTTAAGGGTGGTGCGGACAAAGTAGCTGAGTCCAGCAGGGCCATTGAAAGCTTGCGCAGACGTGCTTCCATAACGTTCCGGGCGTGTTCGGTTTCAATAAGGACGGCGCGCATTTCTGACTCAACCTGGAAGAAATTGAATCACTCATTTAGTCATAAGCAAGTAGGAAGAAGGCGCTATTCTCTGCAAGCCTTAAACATGCGTTTCGGCGTGATTTATAGCTATGAAACCCAAAGGTCTGTGGCTTACTCAGCAGTATTGGTTCACATTTCCTAACAGGCTGTCTCCGGTGATTGATGTCATTAGGTATTCTTGCTCCGGTAAATCACGTGAACCACTTCGTGGAAGCTACGCAAACTGAAATCAAGATTCCCACTTTTTGATAAGGTATGTATCAACTGTTCATTGGGGCCCAAGCCCTTGACAACCTATCTTTGACTCAGTTTCATTTGAATTATAAACTAGCACGGGGAATAGCGTGACGTTGCTGAAGTTGGTCAATTTCCGGGGTAAAGTTACCCAACGATGCTACTTGGATTAGGTATGTACCCTGAATCCTATCCACACGGTTTACAGCAGTAACTGGTATGAAGCTAGTTACACTCAAGGGAGTTGGATTTTTCTCTATTTTTCAGTCGGCTTCTATAAGGACACAAAATGGTGGTTTTGAAATTCTGGATAAAGGAGGGGAAGTTGGATCAAACTTACTTCGGCCACCCGACTCTCGCAGTTCGAGCGTAATAGTTCGGCTTCCCTCTGTGTTGTGGAGATGGCTACGTTCTTTGCTTCATTTATCATTTCAAACTGCCGCTGGTAGTCCATATTCATTTGTTCCATTTGTGTTTGCAACTCGCTGTTGGAAGTAGCATTGCGAAGATGAGGTGGATGGTTGTATATATATATATATATATATATATATATATATATAT